ATTACTGATCAGTGACCAGTGTAGGGACACGGGGGTAGTAGTTATTATTGATCAGTGACCAGTACAAGGTCATGTTGTTCCCGCCCACTGGGATTACGCTCCGCCCACCTGCAGTTGATTGACAAGGGAAACGCCAACGCCGGTGACGATTCTCGCGACGTACGCGGCGGGGTTTCCGGAACCATGGCGGCGATGGGAAGCGGGGAGGCAGCGTCGGCGGTGCCGATCGATGAGTTCAGCAAAATGCGGATAACCGACGTCTGGAGTGTGCTGCTGTCTGTAAGTTGTCGTGTGTGATGGTCAGGGTCGGGCTGTGTTCCCCGGTCCTGTTTCTCCCCGGGTGAATGATGTGGTACCGCCTCCGGCGGCCTGGTGGTTGTCGTGACACCAGCGACGTTCGCGTCAACCCCGTTCGCGCGCCCCTTGGCCGTGACGTCACTTGACTGTGACGTCATGTGGATCAGCTGGGGTGAGGGTTGAGCTCTCTGGGTTGAGCCTTCCACAAAACTTGTCAGTAGCAACATGGATAGTAGGAACTGCAGATGCTGGAGAATCCGAGACAACAAGGTGCAGGGCTGGATGAACACAGCAGGCCGAGCAGCATCATAGGAGCAATCTGTAACTACCTCTTTTAGGATCTACGGATGCAGGCCATCAGGGACAGGGGACTTATCTGCCTTTAGCTCCATTAGTTTGTCTCATACTACTTGTTTAGTGATGGTACTTAATTCCTACCCTGTATTGATTAGTATTAAAGGAAGTATCGAAGTATCTTCCATTGTAAAAACAGATGCAAAATATTTAATTGACTCCTCTGCTAATCCCTTGTTCCCAAAAGTGTCTCTCCAGTTTCATTTTCTAAGGGACCTGTGTTCACTTTGACCTCTCGCTATTCCTTTTTATATATTTAAAGAATCTCCTATTATCAGTGTTAATATTTCTCGCTAGTTTGTCGTTGTCATTTATTGTCTCTACCTTTATTTCCTCTATCTTTATTATTCTTTTAGTCATCCTTTGCTGGATTCTAAATTTATTCCAGTCTTTGGGGGCTATTACTGACTTTTGCCTCTGTATATGTCTTTTCTTTCAACCTCATATCCTTCGTAACTTCCTTGGTTTGCCATAATCGGCTTATCTCTTTGTTAGAATCTTTCTTCTCACTGGGATGTCTTTTTTGCCATAGCATCATGAATTACTTCCTAAATATCTAATTTCCTTCATTTAAGTTGAACACAGTTGTTTCCAACCCAAATTTCTGTTAAGTATTTGAGCATCTTCAACATTGAATCTTGCCCAAGTTTAATATCCTCCCTCACTATCTTGTATCCAATAGAAGTATACAATATGAATTTAGTTGTAAGTTTGTCTGATTCATAGAAGCCAGAGAAAAACAGAATTGTGAAGGCATACAAACATAAATCACAGTTTGCTAACTCATTCCATATCTCAGTCAAGGACCAAAGTATTTGATGTAAGAATGTGCTTATAAACAGGTTGGTTCTTTACATTTATAATCCCACAGTCTAAAAGTTCCAGGAAACCATTATACAGAAATGATTCCAAAAAAGAGACTTGCTAGATTCGGTGAAAATAGCAATGACATTGAGGATTCTGCAGCTACTTGATCAAATGGGGCAACCGAATGACCCAGAAATCATCCAAAAGGGGCTGAACAATTTTGATGGAAGGATTCATACAAAAAATCAATGTGATCTCGACTCATTAAAAGTGTGGCAGAATGCTAACTGAACACTATGTTTTAAGACAGGAAATAGAGAAAGTTTCAAACAGCAACTGTAAAATGTATTCAGAAATGAACAGGAAAAAATCTGTAGTAAGAACACAATCATTCAATGACACTTCCTCCTTTTGTTTTCTCCAACTCTTCATTCCCATGTACACATTCACTGTTTTCACAAACTTGTCAACGGCTTGTTGATCTAGGGGTATGACTCTTGCTTAGGGCCTTGTACATTGTTGACATACAAGAGGTCCTAGGTTCAAATCCCGGATGAGTCCTCATTCCCATAGCGGCACAGTGGCTCAGTGGTTAGCGCTGCTGCCTCACAGCGCCAGGGACCTGGGTTCAATTTGCACGTTCTCCCTGTGTCTGTGTGGGTTTCCTCTCACAGCCCAAAGAAATACATGTTAGGTCGATTGGCCATGCTAAATTGCCCATAGTGTGCAGGCTAGGTGGGTTAGCCATGGGAAATGCTGGGCTACGAGGACAGGGTAGGGGGTGGGATGCTCTTTGGAGTGTTAGTGTGGACTCGATGAGCCGAATGGCTTGCTTCCATTCTGTAAGGATTCTATGATTCTCATACTTGAACTGAATATTAAGTTCCAAGTTATCATCACAACTTCTTTAGGGATCTTTAACTTGGAGGCCGATTGTTAAACCTGCCTCATTACTCGTTACCAGGTCCGAGATGGCCTGCTGTCTGTTTGGATCCATGACCTTTTACTCTCGGAAACTATTCCTAATGCACTCTATGAATTCTTTGTTGGAGCTATCCCTTCCAATTTGATTAACCGAATCAAATGAAGATTAAAGTCACCCATAATTATTACTGTATTCTTTTTACATGCTGGTATTATTTGTTTACTTATAGCCTTTCCTAGAGAGTGGCTACTGTATTGGGATCTTTGACTTTGCATCCATTTTTATCTGATTGCACCTCATTGAGGTAACCTTGAGACACCTTTTCATGTTAAGTGTTCCATAAATTAAACAAAAATGCCTTGGCTTTGCAGCAGTCTTTCTGTCACTGCATAGACTTCTAGATCGATCTAGATCCTCTATCTAAACCTGTCGCCTATTTTCCAAGGATCTGTATCCCTCTGCTCCCTGCCCATTCATGTATCTGTTTAGATACATCTTAAATGACGCTATTGTGCCTGCCTGTACCACCTCCACTGGCAATGTGTTCCAGGCATCCACCACCCTCTGCATAAAGAACTTTCCACGCATATCTCCCTTTAAACCTTTCCCCTCTCACCTTGAAATCGTGACCCCTAGTAATTGAGTCCCCCACTCTGAGGAGAAAGCTTCTTGCTATCCACCCTGTCTGAAGTCCATGTATATGACATCTACAGCCCTTCCCTCATCTATCAACTTTGTCACTTCGTCAAAGAATTCTGTCAGGTTGGTAAGACATGACCTTCCCTGGACAAAACCATGCTGCCTACCACTAATAAGCCCATTTTCTTCCAAATGTAAATAGATCCTATCCCTCAGTATCTTCTCCAGCAGCTTCCCCACCACTGACGTCCGGCTTACCGGTCTATAATTACCTGGATTATCCCTGCTACCTTTCTTAAACAAGGGGACAACATTAGCAATTCTCCAGTCCTCCGGGACCTCATCCGTGCTCAAGGATGCTGCAAGGATGCTGTTAAGGCCCCAGCTATTTCCTCTCTCACTTCCCTCAGTAACCTGGGATGGATCCCATCCAGACCTGTGGACTTGTCTACCCTAATGCCTTTTAGAATACCCAACACTTCCCCCTTCCTTATGCCGACTTGACCTCGAGTAATCAAACATCTATCCCTAACCTCAGCATCCGTCATGTCCCTCTCCTCGGTGAATACCGACGCAAAGTACTCATTAAGAATCTCACTCATTTTCTCTGACTCCTTGCATAATTTCCCTCCTTTGTCCTTGAGTGGGCCAACCCTTTCTCTAGTTACCCTCTTGCTCCTTATGTACGAATAAAAGGCTTTGAGATTTTCCTTAATCCTGTTTGCTAAAGATATTTCATGACCCCTTTTAGCCCTCTTAATTCCTTGTTTCAAATGGGTCCTGCTTTCCCGATATTCTTCCAAAGCTTCGTCTGTTTTCAGTCGCCTAGACCTTATGTATCTTCCTTTTTCCTCTTTGCTAGTCTGACAATTTCACCTGTCATCCATGGTTCCCTAATCTTGCCCTTTCTATCCCTCATTTTCACAGGGACATGTCTGTCCTGCACTCTAATCAACCTCTCTTCAAAAGCCTCCCACATATCAAATGTGGATTTACCCTCAAACAGCTGCTCCCAATCCACATTCCCCAGCTCCTGCCGAATCTTGCTATAGTTGGCCTTTCCCCAATTTAGCACTCTTCCTTTAGGACCACTCTCATCTTTGTCCATGAGAATTCTAAAACTTACGGAATTGTGATCACTATTCCCCAAGTAATCCCCTACTGAAACTTCACCCACCTGGCCGGGCTCATTCCCCAACACCAGGTCCAGTATGGCCCCTTCCCGAGTTGGACTATTTACATACTGCTCTATAAAACCCTCCTGGATGCTCCTTACAAATTCTGCTCCATCTAAACCCCTAACACTAAGTGAATACCAGTCAATGTTGGGAAAATTAAGATCTCCCATCACCACCACCCTGTTGCTCCTACACCTTTCCGTAATCTGTCTACATATTTGTACCTCTAACTCACGTTCACTGTTGGGAGGCCTGTAGTATAGCCCCAACATTGTTACCGCACCCTTCCTATTTCTGAGCTCTGCCCATATTGCCTCACTGCTCGAGTCCTCCATAGTGCCCTCCTTCAGCACAGCTGTGATATCCTCTTTGACCAGTAATGCAACTCCTCCAGCCATTTTACCTCCCTCTCTATACCACCTGAAGCATCTGTATCCTGGGATATTTGGTTGCCAATCTTGCCCTTCCCTCAACCAAGTCTCAGTAATAGCAATAACATCATACTCCCAGGTACTAATCCAAGCCCTAAGTTCATCTGCCTTACCTACTACACTTCTCATATTAAAACAAATGCACCTCAGACCACCTGTCCCTTTGTGTTCATCATCTGTTCTCTGCCTACTCTTCCCCTTAGTCACACTGACTTCATTATCTAGTTCTTTACAGGCTTTAGTTACTACCTCCTTACTGTCCACTAACCTCCTCATTTGGTTCCCATCCCCCTGCCACATTAGTTTAAACCCTCCCCAACAGCGTTGGCAAAAGCACCCCCTAGGACATTGGTTCTAGTCCTGCCCAGGTGTAGACCGTCCGATATGTGATAGTCCCACCTTCCCCAGAACCGGTCCCAATGTCCCAAAAATCTGAACCCCTCCCTCCTGCACCATCTCTCAAGCCACTCATTTATCCTGCCTATTCTTTCATTTCTACTCTGACTAGCACGTGGTACTGGTACAAATCCTCAGATTACTACCTCTGAGGCCCTACTTTTTTAACTTAGCTCCTAACTCCCTAAATTCTGCTTGTAGGACCTCATCCCATTTATTAGCTATATCATTGGTGCCTATATGCACCACGACAGCTGGCTGTTCACCCTTCCCCTTCAGAATGTCCTGCAGTCGATCTGAGACATCCCTGACCTGTGCATCTGGGAGGCAGCATACCATTTGGGAGTCTCGTTTTCGACCACAGAACCACCT